CTACTACTACGACTACTACTACGACTACTACTACGACTACTACTACGACTACTACTACGACTACTACTACTACTACTACTACTACTACTAATCACTTACAACAGTGTCACCTTACCCCAGAATTACATTGAGGTGAAACTTCTTTCAAGCCAAATTGCATCTCGCTCACTATTATTGCCATTGTATCAAGAAATGTTACGCACAGGTACATGCCATCAAGTTGACAATGGTACTTACACTATTAACAAAATACTTCCAGCGCTCAGCCCACCCGAATCTAACGGACAACCATCATCACATGCGCACTTGGATGTAAAAGTTGTGCTCTAGCAAAGAACAAAATTGAACAAATTGAAGTAAACAAAGGCAAAGGCACCTAAGTCGTTTTAGTAGTTTCTTTTTAAAGGTTACCAGTATGCGAAAGAAGTGCCGTTTTTCGTGGAAGGTGTATGGCAGGGTTACCTTTTAGGTCAAACATTGTGTACAAAAACCGCAAGGGTTTCGATCCCCGGGTGGATTATTCTTTATTGCTGCGCTTCTCTCCCTCTTTCACTTCCATACTGACCCAGTTTTCCGTGGAAAGGAACACACGCCAGGCTGTGGGATCTGCAATTAACGAGGGGGGCATAGGGGCCTATTAGAAACCAAAAAACCGCACAAATTTATCGCTGAAAACCGCAAAACCACAATAAATTTCGTCCAAAACCGAAAACCGAATCTCTTTCTGTTATTTAATTTTTATAAGTCTAAACTTGTTTTACTTTCGAAGTTCTTTCAGCATATCTCCTCGTTAATTAGTGCAGAACTCGTCATAATCTAAAAATTTGCTTTATTTATTTTGTACATTGGCTCCAGACCTATGCAATGTGAAACTAGAAAAAAAAAAAAAAACAGCACGATACCATGATTTTAGGTGTTTTTTGTTTAAAAGAAACACCACATTCTGAGACTGCTTTTTAACTGCCATTGCCAGAATTTTCATTTGTGTAGGCACAATGGCAGCCACATTTTACAACCAACAAACAGTCTCTCCTTTGCTGTTATTCCACGCGAACGGAGTGGGTGAGCACAATGTTATTCCGACGTCGATAAAAAGGGGAGACAACTTGCAATCGAGGTATTAATAGAAACTCGATGGTCCACAGTCTAAGGTCAAAGTCCACACGTTATTATCCCAGCCGCGTGATATTTGAGAAATAGTCTTTAGCTTTGATGTTATCTTTAGCTTTTCATAATCTGCTTGGCAGCCGTTACGACCCAAATAACGGCTGCTAAATTAATTACATAATCTAAAAATTTGCTTTATTTATTTTGTAAATTGGCTCCAGACCTATGCAATGTGAAACTAGAAAAAAAAAGCACGATAACATGATTTTAGGCGTTTTTTTTTGTTTAAAAGAAACACCACATTCTGAGACTGCTTTTTAATTGCCATTGTCAGATTTTTCATTTGCGTAGGCACAATGGCAGCCACATTTTACAACCAAACAAACAGTCTCTCCTTTGCTTTTACTCCACGTGAACGGAGTGAGTGAGCACAACGTTATTCCGACGTCGACAAAAAGAGAAGACAACTTGCAATCGAGGTAATAATAGGAACTCGATGGTCCATAGTCTAAGGTCAAAGTCCACACGTTATTATCCCAGCCGCGTGATATTTGAGAAATAGTCTTTTGCTTTGATGTTATCTTTACCTTTTCATAGTCTGCTTGGCAGCTTTTACGACCCAAACAACGGCTGCTAAATTAAAGAGACTAGGCTTGTCATACATCGCTTAAAAGAAAGTCTGGGTAGAAGGCTATATAAGTGGTCCTTGGAATTAGAGTTTTAGCGGGACTGCAGGGTGTAACTTCCTTGACAAAACCAGAAAAACCGTAAAATGCATTGGACAGAAAAATCCGAAAAACCGCCATCATGGTTGACAAAAACCGAAACCCAAAGACTGAATTGGGGAAAACCCGCAAACCGCACAAGACACCAGAACCGAAAAAGCGCAGTTTTTACGTGCGAAAACCGAAAAACCGAACCAAACATTGGCTAAATCCGCAAAACCGAAAATCCCAACGCCCCCTCATTAACTGTTTCTTCCAAGCAGTTTTTCAAACGTCCTTTCAAAACGATCATCTTTGTGAGAGGCTGATGAGAAGTCAAAAGGTTGTTAGTTTCTCTTTCAGCCAGGGATTCGTTTTTACTTCGTGAAATGTGCCCATATTGTAATATAACGAACGAGTTACCAAACGAACGAACGAGTTACTCTGGGATGTAACGAACTAGCCTCCAAGATAAAAAGTTTACAGCTCAACATCGCCAGAAATTCGAGACATTTGAGCCCGCGGATTTAACAGCGGCAATTTGTTAAAAAATAAACAAAATGGCCGTCGCGAAAAGAAAGCATTCGGCGGTGGAAAATAAATTTGATGCGGTCACTTGCAAGAGCTCCAGGTAAGAAATGTTCACTATTACTTGCTTTAGCTCTCTCCATTTCAACAATG